GGTTCTCTCAATAGCTGTATACAGCATCATAAAAAGTGAAGAAGTAAGCGAGAGAAAAAGCAAAAACCTCATGAAATTCAGAGATAACAAGGTGTAGAGCTGGATGAACACAGCAGGCCAAGCAGCATCAGCGGAGCAGGAAGGCTGACGTTTCGGGCTTAGACCTCTCTGCAGTTCCTACTATCATGAAATTCAAGCTTTTTTCCTCTTCAACCACAAGCCATACGTTGACCACCACAGTCGGTAGATTCACCAAGTTTCAAGGAACCAGATTTTAAAAGCTGCCAAATAGCACTAGGTGGTGAATCTTCCTGATTACCCTTGTTATCCCATTCCTCAAAAGAAAAGCAGGGTGAGGTGATGAAAGAGGGGCCTGGTGCAAAATACACAACTGCCAAGTATCCTGTTTGCAAATTCAAGTCCAAGCATTCCGAAGTACAGTCTATCCAGCTGCACTGCACCAAACACACAAGATTTTATTTCACTGACAACAAATGCAGGCAAAGTATAAGCAACATCATGGCCCTAAATTTCCCAACCAGTGTTATCTTAACACAGGCTTCAAACCATTTATTTTAAATCAGGTAAGCAGTGATATTAATGTATCAATCAGAAATCCTGCATTTACTATTGCAATAACTGAATGCTCAATTGTAGCTGCAGATCTGTAGTGGAAAAACAGGAAATGAAATGGGCTGTGGCTTTCACAAGGTTGACAAAGGGCAGCAAATCAGGAGGGCAAGGAAAAAATATACATTCAAAGGGCATCAAGCTGCACGCCAACTGTTTGCACACTTTCACCCTCGCACTTTCAAAAAAAATTAAAATATATTCTAGAAAAATTAAGCATGCAACAGCTTGCAATTACATTGGAATCTTTTTTATACTAAGCTTGTCAATGTGCTTTACAGAAGGATAACTGAGCGAAATCCAAAACCAATCCGAAGAAATATAATGGAGTCAATTTAAAAGACAAGTTTCAAGAAGCATCTTTGAAGTGGAAGAAATATAGAAAATTGCAGGACATAGGGCTAGATGGCAGAAGGCATTTCAGCCAATATTAGAGAAAAAGGGTTTTAGGATTCATTTTTTTTTTAATCAATCAGATGAATGCACCATGTTAAGGCATACCATTTCAGTGGCGTGGCTGCCTGCTCCTATAGAATTTTTCTGTATAACCACAGTAAGTACAATAACAGACATATTCCATAACAAATCCATGAAGGAAAAGACTTAAATCGTTAATCCAAGTGCATTATGCTCTGCAGTAATTTAAAAAAGATGACTTCAGGAACTCTCTTCCCCTCTTAGAAACTGGGTTTCTAATTTTAAATGCACTTTTAAAATGATATATTCAAGATGGGAGTTTCATATTCTTTAAAAGGTCAACAAATTGGCTAAAGAGATGTAATGTTTACAGTAAACCACAGAAAACACAAAGCATCTTTAAATTTTTACCAGGGTGGACTGCAGTTATTTCAAAGAAGAATTATGTATTAAGTAATGATGATACATGGATTTTATCTCAATTTGGCCTGGTCACGAAATGTGATGACAGGATAATTCTGCAATAAATCTTGTGAATTCTGTTAAAGGGTCAGGTCACTGCCTCTGTGATCAATGTTCATTTTATTCCAAGGAAATCACCAAAAAAAATCTAACCTGTGTACTTTTAAACCTTCATGAACTGGCTCCTGACTGCTCACCTTATCCATCTCACTCATATTAATATAACTGCAAAGAACTACAGGTAGCAGCCAAGGAAGCATCTGTGGAGATTGAAATACACTACTGTTACAGGATGATGATCTGACAGTTCAGATGAAAGGCCATCAACTAGAAACTTTAACTTTGTTCCTCTCTCTAAAGATCATGCCTGACCTGGTGAGTATTTTCAGCTCCTGCCTTGCTTTAACCACTTCTGTAACTAACTAGATAAATCTGCGTAACGATTTGTTTGTCTGCTGTTACTATCATCATCAGAGTCATGAAATGATTGATTGATTGATTGTCATGTACTGAAATACAGCAAAAAGCGAGGTTTACGAGCAGTACAGGCAGATCATAGTAAGTAAGGATGTACAGGTCAAAAAGACCAGGCATACAGGTTACTTTGCACAGGGTGCATGCTAGGCGAGATCAACGTTGGCAATATCAGCATTATTTGAGGTCCATTCATCAGTCTGATAAAGCCGGGAAGCAGCTGTTCCTGAACCTGATTGTGCACATATTCAGGCTTCTGTAACTTCTGTCTGATGGAAGAGGTTGTAGGAAATCATTACCGCAGTGCGATAGGTCTTTGATGATGTTGGCAGCCTTTCCATGGCAGCAAGCCGTGTAAATAGAGTCCATGGATGGAAGGTTGGCTTCCGTGATGATCTGGGCTGTGCATACCACCTTCTGTAGTTTCTTACAGTCCTGGGTAGAGCAGCTGCCATACCATGATTTATGCACTTGGACAGTATGCTTTCAATGGTGGGTCTGTAGAAGATGGTGAGGGCCTTTATGAAGGAAGAAGAGGCATTGTTGTGCCTTCTTGACTGTTGCATCTACATGTGAAGTCCAGGACAGGTTGTTGGTTATCGTCACTCGGAGAAATTTGACACTCTCCACCCTCTCAACCTCAGTTCCATTGATGTGTTGTCCTCCTTTCTTTCTGAAGTCAATGATCAGTTCTTTAGTTTTGCTGGCATTGAAAGAGAGGTTGTTTTCATTGCACCACGTTACGAAGCCCTCTATCTCCCTTTTGTATTTTGACTCGTCATCGTAGATATCTGTCCCACTGTGGTGATGTCATCAGAGAACTTGTAGATGGCGTTCATTCAGAATTTGGCTAAATAGTCATAGATGTACAGGGGGTACAGCAAGGGACTGAGGACGCATCCATGGGGGACTCCTGTGTTGACTGCTATTGTGGAGAAGGTGAAGTTACCTGTCCTCACTGATTCGGAAAGCTGAGGATCCAGTTGCAGAAGACAGAGCCAAGACCAAGGTCACGGAGTTTTGAGATCAGTCTGGAGGGGATAATGGTCCTGTAGGTGGAGGTGTAGTCAATGAGCAGGAGTCTGCCATAGGTGTCTTTGCTGTCCAGATGATCCATGGATGAATGCAGGGCTAGGGATATGGCATCTGCCGTGGACCTGTTACGTCGGTAGGCAAATTATAGGGGATCAAGGCAGATTGGGAGACTGGAGTTGATGTGATCCATGACCAACCTTTTGAAGCACTTCATGATTGAGGTCAGAGCCACTGGGCGGTAGTCATTAAGGCACATTGCATGTGCTTTCTTAGGTACGGGGATGATGGTGGCCTTCTTGAAGCAGGTCAGGTCTTCGGCTTGTAGGAGGGAGAGGTTGACGATGTCAGTGAATACCTGCGCCAGTTGGTCCGCACAGGATCCGATTGCTCGGCCGAGGACATTGTCCAGGCCCCTCGCTTTCCTTGGGTTGACTCCCAGGAAGGCCGATCTGATGTCTGCAGTAGTGACTGAGGGAACAGGTGTGTCTGGGCTGTCAAGGCAGGTGACAGCGTGCCATTAGTATTCTATTCAAATCAAGCATAGAAAGTATTGAGCGCGTCAGGGAGGGATATGTCTTTGTTCGCTAACTTGCTCTGCTTCATTTTGTATCCCGTAATGTTGTTTAGGCCTTGCCAAAGGCAGCAGGACTCTGTTTAGTAGGCTTGGGCCTCTAACTTGGTCCAGTACCACCTCTTGGCATCCCTGATGACTCTGCAGAGGTCGCATCTAGATTTCATGTACTGGTCTGGGTCTTTGAGAGACATAGTGGAATTCCTTTGTATTGCACCATACAGCTGAACACATTTGGATTTCACACCTAGCACGAAAACTAAGATTACTTTACACTGTCAACATTTGATTCATGGAGAATGAGGAGTTAGCTTTGAAAATAAGCTTCTGCATGCACCTGAGATATGGTATCTGGAAATAATTTGAATTGCAATTCAGTAACGGAGCAAGCATCTGAGTGTTTATGAAAGGAAATCTGATGTTTGAACCAGTTTCCTTTTCAAAGATCAATTTCTCAATGTCAAAGTTACGGTACCATTCAAGCTCCACTGTTCCTGATATTTAAGTCTCAAGACACTTGAAGTCCTTCTTCAAAAGCATCACACAGCACTTCACATGAGGGCCCGTTACAATCTTGCTTGTCATCTGAATGGGCAGATACTTGTTTATAAAGGCTGCGTCTCTGTGTTATAATATGCCTAATGATGCCACAAAGTTCAAACAAAACTGAACTTCTTTCAAAAGGGGAGAGGTGGCTTTTTAATTGCAGTAACATATCTTATTGCCCATTTTCATTTGGAGGACAAGCCTTTTTAAAATAAGGAATTGTTAATGAAGTCTAAAGGTCAATGTGTTGCAGGAAATATTTAGTGTTCGAATAACCATTGTATTTGACAAGCACCAAGTGTAATTAATATCTTTTCTGACATATTTTAATTACTCCATATTCCAACATTCACTGAAGAGACAGGGAACGTGGTCTGTTCACAGAATTTGCAAATTCTATCATTTAACTGTATATGAGGAGATCACAACAATAGTGCAGACTGACTTAGCCTCATAGTAGCAGAAGCACAAAGGTTTATTTGGTGTTCCCAATAGTGTTTCTGCAATTCAAAATTTCTGTGCTGAAAGATACATATAAATTGGAGTTGTGAAGGTAAAGTTGCCGCAGTTATATTGGATCATAGGGCTGGTCTCTCATTAGAGACACAGCTGCTGGCGACTTTAACCTGAGGAACAAGGTTGAGAAGATGGGACCAACATGGTCACTTCAGCTGATGCATAAGCTAAACCTGAGCTGTTGGTATCACTCTACATCACAAACCAGCCATCCAGCCAACTGAATTATATCAGAACAGAGTGTCACCAAGACAGATAAACTTCATCATAGATTTTAAAAAAATACTTCCAAACTCTGAAAAAGGTCTACAAGCAAGACACTAATTTCATGTTGCAGGAGCTTTCTTACCTGCATACAAGTGTTGCAATGATGACACACCATGCTGTACAGCAGCAGTCTGCGTTTGGCTGATCTTCACTCTTCCTTCGACAACACAGCCAAAAGGAATAGAACAGAAGAAAGAGGAGGTTGAGGGAAAGGCAGACCAGGGCAACTCCACCCAACAGCAACAGTGACTGCAGGAAAAAGAGAGGGGAGATAAAGTTAATATTGGATTAAATGCATCAACTGGAACTGTCTCTTGTAGCCCTCAAATTTCAAAATATTTGCCGTAAATACAAGAAAGAAGCTAATGACTTAACAGAGGGCCAAAGAATTTTCTTATTTATCTGTACGTTAGTGAGCACGTGCGGTTGTGGCGAATATACTGTTCAGCAGTAGTTCAGTACATCACTGCTAAGTTTTGGTGATGCAGTAATGGAAAACAGGAGTACAGAAAGATCCAGCTTTAAAGCATTTGCAAAACCATATTTGACCACACAGCATGTGAGGAAACTATAACAGCAGGAATAGAGTTGTTTACAATTTTACAGAGGATGAACCCAAGCTGGGCAGAATCAAATTTGAATTCACAACGATAAGTTACCTGTGCTTTTAGAAATGTGCTGGAAACAGGTAAGCAAGACCAAGAGAAACAAAATCTCCAAATTGCTGGCATTTAAACAAATTTAAATTTTAACTATTACTGTAGGCCAAAGTCAATCAGCAGTTCCACATTTCATATGTAGAAGGACAAAACTAAAGTCGCTAAACTATGACCATTAATCTGCAATCAAAACACAGCATTTTTGCCTTTTGCTCCTGAAAAGAAAAGTACTTAAATGCTGGCTTTTTAAAAAGCATACTTAACATTTTCAACATTGTGGAGAATATATACACTTAGCTGTAAGCACTTTCATACTGTTAGACTGAAGACCCAAACTGTACAACAGGGAGGAGCATGCAGCAATTCAGCATCACTGTGAAGCAGACTGGGAGAGGAGACCTGTGTGAGAAGGGCAGTGGTAGTGGGGGATTATAAGCTGACAGCGGACAACTCCTTCAACCTGCTTTTAACTGCAGAGCTGAAGTATGATGTTCCATGAAACACGTAAACTGATGTATAAATCTTCTGCGTCTTTTGATTGACCACGTGGCTTAAATCAGGGGATCTTAATGCAGTCAAGTACAGTTAACAAATTCACTTTTAAAGTACTTAGCATCTAAATTAGCAACCCTAGCCCTTAAGACCAAATTTATTCCACAGTCAGAGACAGCAAGGTGTGACTGATAGTGAGGCAGGTACTAGAATCAATAACATATCTTGGGAATTCCCAATCCACTAGCACATGGTGGAATTTCAAAGTCAGTCTGAGGGACAGCAATGTGAGTCTCAGACCAGTGTCATCAATTTAAATAATTGTAGTTACAAAGATGTGAAGAAAGCATCATCCAAAGCAGGGTGGAAAACTAGACTAAGGGGAAAGTCATTAGACAAGCAGTGGCAGATTAAGTAGATATTTCATAATGCTAAGCAAAGTTTATTCCAGTCAAAAAGAAGGATTCAATGAGAAAGATGAACCTTCTGTAGTTCACACAGGCAGTCAACAAGAGTAACCAAACATTAAGGCATACAAATCAACAAAAATTAGTGGCAAGCCAGAGAATGGGAATTTTGTTTTAGGATCCAACAGCAGATGACTTAAAGTTAATAAAGAGGGAGAAATCAATGAGGAGAGTGTAGGAGGATGCGACTTGGGAATTGATAACAGAGAACAAGGAAACAGTAGATAATTAAAACCAATACTTTGCAATGGTCTTCACAGTGGAGGACATAATAAATATGCTAAAGGTATCAGATAAGCAAGGTACCATTGAGTGGAAGAGTCTTGAAACAGTCTCTATGGGGGACAAAGTGTTTGACAAACTACGGGTACTGAAGGCAGACAAGTCGGCAGGACCTAATGGCATGCATCCAAGAGTTTTAACACAAGTGGCTGTAGAGTTAATGGAGGCGTTTGTCAAAATATTCCAGGGGAGAGAATGGAAAACTGCCAATGTGACACCCTTGTTCAAGAAATGAGGGAGATAGAAAGCAGGAAACTATCAGTTAGTCAGCCAAAAAATCTGTCTTGAGAAAATACTAGATTTCATTATTGAACAAGAATTTGCAGGACATTTAGAAAAGTTAACACAAACAAAGAGTCAACATGGTTTTGTGAAAGGAAAATCATGTGGATAAATTTGCTAGAGTTCTTTGCAAATATAACAAGCAGAGTTGATAAAGCAAAACAGGCAGTCCCTGGATTGCGAATATGTTCAGTTCTTCAGTCCATTAGCAAGTTGATTTGTACGCCAGTTGGAATACAATGCAGCCTTTTGATATGTACAGGAAATATTCATGTTGGATCTTTAAAATTACACCCCAAGACCGGGTTTATAAGTATGAACATTTGTGAGCCAGATCTGCTGGAAATTGGATTTTCAGAAGACTTTCAATAAGGTTCCTCATAAAAGTTTCTTGCACAGGAGAGGAGCTCACAGTATTGGAAATAATGTATTTGCTCGGATTGAGGACTGGTTAACATACACAAGACAGAGTTGGAATTAATGGGTCTTTTTCAGGTTGGAAAGATGTAATAAGTTGAGTGCCACAAGCATGAGTCCGAGCACCTTAGTTATTTATTATCTACGTTAATGACCTGGAGAATGAAGCAGAGTGTAATGCAAATTTGCTGACAATACAGGAAAAAACAGAAGTGAAGGCATGTTGTGAAGAGGGCATAGGAGTTGAACTAGTAGGCAAAAAATTGGCAAGTTGAGTTTATTGTAGGAAAAACGTGAGGTCATGCATTTTGATAAGAAGAATCAAAAGGCAGACTATTACTTAAATCGAGAGAGACTTTTTATTAAAAGTGCAGCACAGTAGGACAGTAGCATTCTTTAGCATGTAAAAAAATGTTAACATGTAGGTGCAGCAAATAATTAAGACATCCACTGGAATTTGGGCCTTTATTGCTGACGGTTTGGAATTTAAAAACATTGAAGTTATGTTACAAATACATAGGATATTGGTGAGGCCCTACCTCGAGTACAGTGTACAGATTTGGTCCCTGTATTTAAAAAAGGATATGCTGGCATCGGCCACAGTTCAAAAGAGATTCACTCAGCTGAATTCTGGGATGAAGGAGTAGAATTATCAAGAGCAGCTAAACAAGTACTAGAAGAATGAGGGATGACTTTATTGAAACATACAAGATTCTGAAGAAGTTTCACAAAGCAGATGCTGAGAAGACATCGAGGAATCTTGACCTAGGAGACGGTTAAAGAAAACAGAATGCTTATTTAAAACTGAGGTGCAAAGGGAGTTGTTCTCAAAAGGTAACAAATGTCTGGAATTCTCTACCTCAGAGATCTGTGGAGTCTAGATCACAAAGTATTTAAAGAGGAGGTAGACAGATTTTTGAAACGAAGGAGTTGATGCTGAGGAGGAGCTGGCTTGAAGGAGGAGTTGAAGCAGATCATACAGGATCTTACAGAACGACAGGGCTGGCTTAGGGCCTGAAGGTCCTACTTTTTAAAAAATTTATTCACAGGATGAGGGCGTCGCTGGCTAGACAGCATTTATTGCCCATCCCTAATTGCCCAGAGAGCAGTTAAGAGTCAACCACATTGCTGTGGGTCTGGAGTCACATGGAGGCCAGGCCAGGTAAGGATGGCAGTTTCCTTCCAGATGAGGTTTTCCAACAATCGATAACGGATTCACAGTCATCATTAGACTCTTAATTCCAGGTATTCGTTGAATTCAAACTCCACCATCTGCCGTACCGAAATTCGAATCCGGATCCCCAGGGCATCATCTGGGTCTCTGGATTAACAGTACAGCAATAATACCACTAGGCCATCACCTCCCCTATTTGTCTGTTCTTATGTAAATGCGCATGAGGAACCTTAGAATATGCAGATATTCTTAATATATGCAGATAAATCGCACCCTCATTTCCAAGTAAAGAATCACACAGTGAAATAAATTACACCGTTACTTGTAAAGACAATTGTTAGGGTTCTTGTGGCACAGTGGTGGGTAAGGCTGGTAAGAGTAGGGAACAAAGGTGAATGAAGGTATTGAGGCTGCGTGTCCTTGTAAGTATGTACCTGTCAGGCAGGGAGGAAGTGGTCGAGCGAGGGAACCGTGGTTTACTAAAGAAGTTGAATCTCTTGTCAAGAGGAAAAAGGAGGCTTATGTAGAGATGAGGTGTGAAGGCTCAGTTAGGGCGCTTGAGAGTTACAAGTTAGCCAGGAAGGACCTAAAGAGAGAGCTAAGAAGAGCCAGGAGGGGACATGAGAAGTCTTCAGCAGGTAGGATCAAGGAAAACCCTAAAGCTTTCTATAGGTATGTCAGGAATAAAAGAATGACTAGAGTAAGATTAGGGCCAGTCAAGGACTGTCGTGGGAAGTTGTGCGTGAAGTCCGAAGAGATAGGAGAAGTGCTAAATGAATATTTTTCGTCAGTATTCACACAGGAAAAAGACAATGTTGTCGAGGAGAATACCGAGATACAGGCTATTAGACTAGACGGGATTGAGGTTCTTAAGGAGGAGATGTTAGCAATTCTGGAAAGTGTGAAAATAGATAAGTCCCCTGGGCCGGACGGGATTTATCCTAGGATTCTCTGGGAAGCTAGAGAGGAGATTGCAGAGCCTTTGGCTTTGATCTTTATGTCGTCATTGTCTTCAGGAATAGTGCCAGAAGACTGGAGACTAGCAAATGTTGTCCCCTTGTTCAAGAAGGGGAGTAGAGACAACCCTGGTAATTATAGACCAGTGAGCCTCACTTCGGTTGTGGATAAAGTGTTGAAAAGGATTATAAGAGATAGGATTTATAATCATCTAGAAAGGAATAATTTGATTAGGGATAGTCAACACGGTTTTGTGAAGGGTAGGTCGTGCCTCACAAACCTTATTGAGTTCTTTGAGAAGGTGACCAAACAGGTGGATGAGGGTAAAGCGGTTGATGTGGTGTATATGGATTTCAGTAAAGTGTTTGATAAGGTTCCCCATGGTAGGCTATTGCAGAAAATACGAAGGCATGGGATTGAGGGTGATTTAGCGGTTTGGATCAGAAATTGGCTAACGGTAAGAAGACAGAGGGTGGTGGTTGATGGGAAATGTTCATCCTGGAGTTCAGTTACTAGTGG